GGAGGGGGAGGAGGAGGTTACACAGGGGTCCCTCGTGCAGTGGATCAAGGCTGGGAAGTCCAGAATGGCTCATGGCAGCTTTGAAGCAAAGGGGAGACTCCCTTGGGGGCCAGAGAGAGGAATAAAAGGAGGCTTTCCTCTTCTGAGGCTGGAGGAGTTGGGGGTGTGCCCTGCCTCAGTTTCTACTCCCTTATCCACAGGAGTCAACAAGAATATCGGTGACCGAGTTTGGCCCGGGCTCGCTGAGCACAGCCAGCCCCCCAGCCGTGGAGCTGAGTCCCCCTGTCGGGGCAGCTTGCCTGGAGAGCCTGCCACTGCTGGACGCCAGCCTGGCCGAGGGACCCTCCGTGCCCAGGGACTCTCTGGAGCCCCGTGTGTCCACAGAGCACACGAATAACAGGATTGGTGAGTTGGCCGGTTTGGGGGTCTCTGGTATGGCTAGTGAGAGGTAGGGGACAAGGATTCTGGGGCCTAGATGGGAAGCAGAAGGCCCTGGGGTCCCCCCCATACCTGTGAAGTCAAGATGGTGGCAGGAATGCTTCATGGGGCCATGGAGAAAAGTCAAGCATTAGCCTGGGCCGGGCGCCAGTGGCTCGTGCCTGTCATCCTGACTACGCAGGAGGCTGAGATCTGAGGATTGTGGTTCAAAGCCAGCCCAGGCAAGGAAAGTACGTGAGACTCTTCTTGAGCTGAAGAGCTGAGGGACAGCGCCCAGGCCCAGAGTTCAAGCCCCACAACCAACCAAAAACAAACAAACAGCCTGGCATTGCTGGTATTCAAGCGGGGGGGGGGGCTCAGACTGTAGGAAGACAGGCTGGCCCCTGACAGCTCTCCACCTTGCACTACCATGGCGTCCTCAGGGCGCACAGGCCCGGCTGGCCCCCAGCTTGGACGAGCGTCTGCTATGGCCCCTACCTCTCACCATCGGTACAGCCAGAGGTTCTCTGGAAGATCTAAACCTGCCCACACTCCACCGCTTCTTCAACCCCCATCACCCATAGGATTCCAGACCAAAGGAAGAAATAGGAGGCAGGAAAAGTGGGGGAGCAGAGGCAACGTTTATTTGAAAGTGGGTATAAGGCCCCAGGGAAGCTGAGGAAAAGCCTCTTAGCTACCAGTGGATTAGTACAAGCCCCCAAGGAGGAGCTTCGGCTGGGAGGGATGCTGCACGCCTGGTGAGGTCCTGTCCACCTGCTTCCTGCCCAAGGAGGAAGAGGAGGAGAAGGAGGGAGAGGAGGAGGGGGAGGAGGGGGAGGAGAGTGCTGGGTCTAAGGGGGCAAGAAAGGGACCGGAAGTCGGGAGTCTGCCTGCAGTGCTCCCTGGGTCCCCCTTTTTTATCCCTCTGGGTGCGTCTCAGCTGTCCTGGCTCTGGTTGGGTCACTGCCCACCTCACCCCGAGGCCAGGCCCTGGCCAGGGCATGCTGCAGCTCACCAAACTGCTGTCTGGCGCCATCCACCTGTCCCTTAGGTCTGCCATTCAAAGCTGGTCGGGGCTGGCTCCTTCCCGCCGGACTGCACCTGACCACTCTCTCCCGGACTAAAAGTTTCTCTAAATGTTCCGATCCTTCCCTCAGGCTAAGCTGCTTCTGCAGGAGCCACTTCCTGGCCGAAAGCAACCAACTCCTTCCCCCCCCCCCCCAGGCTGGCAGATTCCAGATGTTTTCTGTGCTTCCCCCTCCAGGGAGCCTTCCCCGCCCTCTCTATGCTGTGGCATCCCTCATCTGTGCATCTTGACACCCAGGCTTCCCCGTCCAGTGTCCCCACTCTTTCTCAGCTCCACCTGGCTGGGAGGCCCCTGGGGCAGGGCCTCCCAGGGCCCCGCCTCCTTATCTGGAAAGGTCCCTGGGCCCTGGGACCTCTGGTGGGTGCTGCTAGGGAGAGCTCCTCCGGGCAGCCTGCCTCAGGAACCAGTGTCTGCAATTGTAACCGTAAGCCAGTGTTTGAAAAGCATCGGAGGAAATACCATGAGGCGCCTGCCGCTTTCCTGGGAAGTCCAGGCTCAGGGCCTTGCTGGGAACTCAGGGTGAAGCCCTGGGAGGAGGGGAAGAGGCCCCTAGCAGCTCCAGCTCCAGCTCCCTGCACTGGCTCAGCCTTCCCAGCTGCGTGTCCCACCCCAGCAGGCTGGGTAGGGAAATGTGTTGGAGGTCCCCTGCACGGGACACCAGGCCGCAGATGACTCCTGGTGTGGACAGCGTCCCAGGGGAGCAGCCTCTGCTAGTTCTCAAACAAGACCCAATTCCCTGCCCTCCTCAACTCCTGCCGGGCCCAGATACCTCGGGGGACCTGTGACCCCCACGGTGGGGGTGGGCAGGCCAGGGCCTTGGCCTGGCCCCAGCTTTGGCCTTTTCTGACCAGCCCAACACCCTCTTTTCCTCCATGTGTCTCCCCTCCTCTCATCTGTTCCCTCTCTATTCTCCCCACAGCCTGGGGACCCCTCAGCCATGGCCTCTGCCTCCTAACCCCACCGAAGGGCCCCCAGATCCAGGGCCACGGGCCTGGGCGGGGATATGGGGTGGAACCTGAGCTGCTGCTCCTGTGGGGTGGGTCTTGGGGGACACAGCTTGTCCCCTGTTCTCTCCGGTCCTCTGTTCTTTCTAGTAGGTCTCCCTTTCCCTATAATCCTAGCTATACAGGAGGCTGAGATCTGAGGATCGCAGTTTGAAGCCTGCCCAGAGGGCAAAGTCTGTAAGACTCTCACCTCCAATTAACCAGCAAAAGGTCAGAAGTGGGAGGTGTGGCTCAAGAGGTGTCCTGCCAGCCAGCCTTGAGCAGGAAAAGTGTAGCAGGAGTGCAGGGCCCAGCACTAGCATAAAACAACCCAACAAACAAAAAACCATAGACAGGCCACGTGCCAGTGGCTCATACCTGTCTGTAATCCCAGCTGTTCTAGAAGCTGAGATCTTAGGATCGAAGTTCAAAGCCAACCCAAGTAGGAAAGACCCTGAGACTCTTATTTCCAGTTAACCACTAGAAAACGGGAAATGAGCTAGGTGCTGGTAACTCATGCCTATAATCATAATTACTCAGGAGGCTGAGATCTGAGGATCATGGTTCAAAACCAGCCAGGGTAGGAAAGTCTCTGAGACTTCTATTTCTAGTTAACCACCACAAAGCCAGAAGTGGAGCTGTGGTTCAAGTGATAGAGCACTAGCCTTGAACACAAAAGCTCAGGGACAGCCCAGGCCCTCAGTTCAAACCCCAGGACTGAACTGGGAACCAGTGGTTCACTTCTGTAATCCTAAACTACTCAGGAGGCTGAGATCTGAGGATCGGAGTTCAAAGCCAGCCTGGGCAGGAAAGTCCATGAGATTCTTATCTCCAATAGACGGCTCAGAAAACCGGAAGTGGTGCTGTGGGTCAATTAGTTGAGTGCTAGCCTTGAGCTGAAGAGCTGAGGGTCAGTGCCCAGACCCAGAGTTCAAGTCCCGTGACTGACAAAAAAAAAAAGACTGGCATACACACCAAAAGCCAGCACTGAGTGAAAAAACCAGGGAACAGCATTCAGGCCCTTAAGTTCAAGCCCTAATACTGAGGCAAAACACACACGCACACACACACACACACACACACACACACACAAACTGATACTAAACAATGAGGTTGGGGCGCCAGAGTCTTGTGAAAATCTTTTTGGGGTTCCTGAATCTGAGGAGTGAAACTGGGCTTCACTAGGCAGGAGACCCCACCCCAGTCTCGCTCTCAAGTTCCCTCTTGAGTTTCCCCATTCAATCTTCACAGCCCAGCGCAGCTGGGAGCCAGACCCTGGCCTGAGTGTGAGCTGCTGGCGCGCTGGGCCTGCTGGGTAGAAGCAGCTGCCCTGGCCCAAGTCTAGGCTTCCCCTTCCCGGCTTCTCAGGCAGTGTGGAGCCGTCTGGGCCTCCAGTCTCCCGTTGGAAAGGCTACTCTGGCAGTCCCTACAGTGCAGTTGCTTATTAATTAGCGGAGTCCAGACCTGTGCAGCAGTGCCCAGTCCATTGGGTTTGCCTGAACTGGTCTTCCCAGCACCCCCATCCTCTTGCCTTGCAGAGAAAATCTACATCATGAAGGCCGACACCGTGATTGTGGGGACCGTGAAGACTGAGGTACCCGAGAGCCGAGGTCTGGGGGGGCCGGGGGAGCCCGAGCTGGAAGTGGACCACGCACCGCACTTCCCGGAGCAGGAGACGGAGCCACCTCCGGGCAGCGGTGAGGACGTCATGTTCTCCGTGGAGGAGGAAGGGAAGGAGGACTCCGGGCCCATGACCATGTCTGGGAAGTGAGGCCCGGGCAGCTGAGTGCCCCTTGAGGTCAGGGAGATGGAGGCCGGTGGGGCGTGAACGGAAGCACTGGGCACTTGGGATGGACCCGGGTGGGCATCCTGGCTTGTGTTCTTGCCTGACACCAGGAACTCATAGTCAGGACAGCACCCACCCAAGGAGGGGCCGTGAGGTTGGCTCCATGTCCCTCGCCAGCACCCCTGTGGCCTCTCCTCTCTCCCTGGGCCTCCATGGTAACAGCCTCCAGGCCTTGCTGGTGTGTCGCCAGCCCCCAGTTACTATGCACATGGCCAGGGTGGGTGCAGAGCCCGGCCTGGAGGGGAAGTGAGAGGTTGGAGGAGCACTCGCAGTGGGTGCTCTGCCCCCGGCCCGGCCCCCCACGCTCTCCCTGCCACCCTGCCCGGCTCCCCACCCAGCCCGGGCTCCCCACGGCTCCGCCACCACCATGCCAGACCCAGGATCAGTTCTCTGGTCTCAGAACACCTGTCATTTTGTGACTCACATGTCTAGAGACCCTATGGCTGCTGGAAGTCAACCAGCCCTGCTTGGCCTCCCCACACAATGAGGGGGGACCGCGGGCCTTCCTGGGGCCCTCAAGTACATAGTGGCGCCCCCTGCTGGGCCCTGAGATTGAAGACATGTCCTTACATCCATAGATTTTAAGTCACAGGACCCCCCACCCCCAAGCCCTGCGCCTGACGTTAGAAAGCACACCACCCCCTGCCCTTCCCTGCCCCCCCACAAAGACATTCAGCCCTTGCTGTGTCCTGGCCTGGCCTCTAACCATGATCCTCAGATCTCAGCCTCCTGAGTAGCTGGGACTACAGGTGTGAGCCACAGACACCTGGCCTCTCAACCTCTTCTAACAAACAAGCGATGGATGACTGGGACCAGCATGTGCTGCAATCTGTGGTCCGGAGGGAGGAGCTGGGAGCCTGGTTGTGCTCGAGGCTAGCTCTACAGAGGAACTGGGTCAAGAATCACGAGGGCAGGGACTTGTGAAATCACCCAGATGTTTTGGGGAAAGTTGTTGTGGCTTGGACATTACGAGAGGTGGTTTCACTCGGACCCAGATGGAGAAAGGCCAGAAAAGGCTTGAGTGGCCCCGGTGATGTTTGCCCAGTGGTCTTGTGCCAGGACTGAGAGGACAGTCATGTCCCCACCGCTGTGACGTGATAAGCAGAAGACACCATCTTCCTGCTGAGCAGGTGGGCCGGCCACCTGGACTGGAGGAGAGTCCCACACATGCACTATATTGCTTGTGAGATGGGGTCTTGCTGCGTAGCCCACACTGGCCTTCAACTCTCTATCCTCAATCCTCCCACCTCAGCCTCTTGAATACTGGGGTTACAGGCATGTGGCACTGTGATCACCTGCCACACATTAGAACAGAAGAAGATACTTTCTTCCCCAGTGACACTTCACAGCTTTCTATGCTGGTACCAGGGCTTGAACTCAGGACATTACCCTCTTGGGTGACTTTTTTCTTTTTGTCGGTTGTGGGGCTTGAACTCAGGACCCGGGCACTGTCCGTGAGAATTTGTACTCAAGGCTAGTACTTTACCACTTTGAGCCACAGTTTAGAGGTTAATTGGAGATCAGAGTCTCAAAGACTTTCCTGCTCAGGCTGGCTTTGAGCTGCAATCCTCAGATCTCGGCCTCCTATGTAACTCGTCTTACATGCATGAGCGACTAGTGTCTAAAGATCCATAGGGTCTCCCCAAAAAGTGAAGAACTAGAAATAGAGTGTTTGAAAACCTCTGAGCAGGAAGGGCCTCCTCCCCTAGGGCAGAGATTACTTCCGTTCACCACAACCCCCATACCCACAATCAAGAATAAGAGTGGGAGACCCGCTGGGCTCCTCCTCATGCATCCACGCAGGTTCTCCTGCATGTAGCTGCCACTCTGGTCTTTTGATGATGTGCAGAATAAAGCTGCTGTGGTGGTCAGACGGCTGGTGGTTTGTATAGACGGCTCCTGGGCCTTTGCAGGGCCGCCTTCCAGCCCCACGGCTTTAGCAAAGGAATCCTCCTCCTCCAACAAGCAGAAAGGCCTGTGCCTTGGGAGGCAGCTGAGGTCGGAGGGGGGGGTGGCGGGAGGCGGGGGGGGGTTGTATGTGATCAAACCTCTTACCTTGTGGGATACCCCCAAATTCCTCCAAACCAGTCTTAGGACTGGCTATTTGGTAGCTGTCTGAAATTCTGGACCTCTGCTTGCCATGTGCTGAGGACCCCTGTGGAGAGAAGGAGTCATGGTTCTAGAACATTCCAGACTGTACCATATTGCTGCCCATAGCCTTTTCCCCTTTCCTTCCCCAAACACTGGCCATGAGTGGAGCTGGGTTCAGCTGCCCGGGACTCCCGGTGCACAGATGGGCTTGCTCTGGGGGCCCGGGGACAGAGGAGTTGGGTCATTGCTGTATGCTATGGAAATCTGGGTCTGGAACGGGGCTGGACAAGAGAGCTTCCTTGAGGATCCACCTGAGCGGACCAGGGAGGCTCGGTGAGCAGGGAGAGGCCTGAGCATGGACAGCCCATAGGCCACTTCAAGGGACTCAGATTCTACCACAAGAGCACCACTGCATGCTTTGTTGTTGTTGGTGGTAGTGGTCGTGGGGCTTGAACTCTGGGCCTGGGCGTTGTCCCTCAGCTCTTCAGCTCAAGGCAAGCGCTCTACCACTCGAGCCACAGTGCCACTTCTGGTTTCCTTGGTGGTTCATTGGAGATAAGAGTCTCACAGACTTTCCTGCCTGGGCTGGCACAGGTGTGAGCCATCGGCGCCCGGCTGCATGCTTATTTCTGTTGTCCTGTTAAAGCCCAAGCATCTGGGTACTATGTCAGCCCAGAGTGAGAACTGCCAAACCTTGGGTGTCCAAGTTTATCTATTTCAGAGAGAGGCAAGGGGCACTTCCCAGCAGAGCTAGAGCCAGGATGCCGTTAGATGTTCTTTGTTTTCTCAGAAAGGCGAAGAGCTAAGATGACATTCTGGTGGCCTGGGCCGGGCCTCCTGTCCCCACAGGAGTGAGTGGACAGCCAGCCCAGTTCCTCTCTCCTCCAGAGCCGTCCAGGAGAGCAGACACCACACAGAAAAGTCCCAGGAGGCTGGCAGTCCCCGCTTGTTTTGGTGTTGAGCCTTCAGCACCTCAAGGACTGAAGAACAAAATTCTGCCTCCTTCTCCTGGTTAAGCAAGTGCAGGACCCACACAGGTGGGGAGGGGACATAAACCTCTGGCTTTGATGAGAGGAAATGTCAAGGGATTGTGGGTGAGGGGGGTGGTGCTGGGGTTTGAACTCGGGGCCTCTACACGCTAGGCTGGCACAGTCTGCGGAGTCTCGCTTCCCGTCCTGTTTTTCTTCTCAGGCTAGGATCTTCCCTCTCTCCCAGGTGGGTCCCTGAGCCCCGATCTGCCCACGGTAGGCTCCTCACCATTGCTGGCATAGCAGGCGCGCGCGCACACACACACACACACACACACACACACACACACACACACACTTAGGAAAATGGAGGAGAAAAGATGGAAACAGGCTGGACTCGGTCTTCTGTAGGCGAGCACTGTTTATTGAACAGTGAGGGGCAGCAACCTTCCCACAGGATCAGAGGTTGTGCCAAGGGGTGGATTTGGGGTCGGGCTGTTATGGGTCTTAGCAAGGAAGTGGAAAATTAAAAAAACAGGCCCCTTGGCAGTACCCTCTCCAGGCCTAGAATGGAATGCTTGGCCGGGGTGAAGGAGCCTTCAGCTACTTGAAGGCCTGGAGTGATCTGCCTTGTGGACAAGCACGTGAGCACGTACCTGGTGTTTTGCTTGACCTGGGGGACTGGGGCAGGAGTCAGTCCTTCACACGCACGCGCTGATCTCCTGGCTGGAGACAAGAGTCTCCTGCCTGGACTTTTCTGCCGGAGTTGGCCTCGAACTGTGGTCCTCCCATTCTCAGCCTCCCCAGGAGCTAGGATTGACAGGTGCACACCACCCGCGCCTGGCAGATATCAAAGATTGGGTTTAATTCTTCATGGACTGCCTCGTTCTGTTTCCAAAAGATTTGAACTGGCCTCAGGAAGTGAGGCAAACCTGTGCCAGGCCAAGGGGTCCTGGATGACACTTCGAAGCTAGGCTTTCTGTCTTGAGTGTGTGCACCCTGGACAGTGAGGCCAGCTGGGGCTCTCGGAGGTGGAACCCACAGCTGTCTGATGGGAGAACACTGGAGGCGCCCTTTGGTTTTTAGAGCGGAAGACGGGCTTTCAGAGTCTGGGCTGGCCTCCCCAAGGAGAGCAGGGCAGGAACTGGCACCTGCCAGGGCAGGAAGGGGCCCCGGGAGGGCCGTGGGGTCTGGTCAGGAAGTCTCAGAGCTGCGGGCAGATTAGGCAAGAGCAGGTTTTCTACGTGCTCACACTGCACCGGGGAAATACCCACCAATTCAGCGTATCTCGAAAGCCCTCGGTCCAGCCGGAAGACCCTCTGTGAACCTGGGATGGGGACCCTCTCCACATTTCCCTGAGGACCACCCTGCCTGACAAGGGGGTTTTGTAAAAGGGGCTCCATCTTTGCCATCCAGGAAGTGGCCTGTTTCAAAGGAAGGCAAAGATAAGAATAATACCTTCTTGAGGCTTTTGTACCATCTACTGTAAACCTCAGGGGCCCAGGAAAGTGGTTACTCTAAGCATCCTGTGCTTCAGGTGAGGAAACCGAGGCAGAGAAGTCATTGGGCCAAGGTCACACAGCTGTTCAGTGCTGGGGGTAGGATTCAAACTCAAGCCACCTGGTGCTGCTATTCCAGTAGTCTGTGGGTCAGGCCAGGGTCATCACCCTGGACTAAGTTCCTGGTCTTCACATATGGCTTCTAACAGGTGTCCAGCCTCTACTTCCTACTCCCTCAAGTGCATTGATAAGTGAACTGACTCCAAAGAGATGCTGGACGAAGATGCTCACACCTTAGCTTGTTACATCAAATAGTAGTAAATAAAACGGGTGGGAATCCTAGCTACTTAGGAGGCTGAGATCTGAGGATCATCAAAGTTCAAAGCCAGCCCAGGCCTGACAAACTGGTGAGCCTCTCATCTCCATTTAGCCAGCAAAAAAGCCAGAAGTGGAGCTATGGCTCAAGTGGTAGAACGCCAGCCCTGAGCAAAAAGAGCAAGAAAGCTAAGCTACGTGAGAGCACAAGGTCTGAGTTCAAGCCCCAGCACTGGCACAAAAGATAAAATAGTTAGGAGGCACAGACTATAGAAGCTGGGTGCTGGGATTCAGCCTCCTCCCAAAGAGCGGCAGCATTTGAGCTGTTAGCTGGTGGTAGCCGCGCGGTGCCGGCAGGCGTGG